CCCAGGACCTTCTGTGTGCAAAGCAGATGTGCTAACCATTACACTATGGAGCCACCCCCAATTCTTAGTTTTTTGAGAAACTATTTCTTCTTGATTTTTAACAATTTGCTTTCTTAAAGAGAATCTCTATTTTATGTTTACAATGGATTTGCAGAAAGTTGTTCATAATGGTTCTCTCATTTTAAAACCTATATTTGTTGTGAAGTTTTTCAGTTTTTCTGTAAATTGCTGTCTTTTATTATTTTTCAAGGAACAAGGTTTTGATTTTATTTAGTTTTATTATTTTCTTCTCTGAATTGTGCCAATTCCTCCTTTATGCTTTCTTTGGATTGTATTGGTCTTACTTTTAGCGTCTTTAAATGATTAACTCATTAATTCTGTCATGTGAAACATTAAATGCGGGCTATCAGTGCCACTCTTAGCTATGTGTTAGCCGCACCCACGAGCTCTGACATGCATACTCTGTCCAGTCCTACATCTATCGGACTGCCCAATGACATTTCCTTTCTAACTTTTTAAACTGCCTTTTTCATTGGTTTGTAAATATTTTGTGTACATTTCATGTGTGTTGGAATAGAGTGCACATTTTCTAATTTTAGGGACAAACAGGTATCAATTTCTATGAGAGATAATTAAATTTTCACCCATGATTGCCGATCTTTGCTCTCTATAGTTTGAGCATAATTGTTAGATGCTAACAAGTTCTTGATTGCCAGAGAGTGTCTTTTTACTCTATTAATTTTTCTAAATTCCATTTCACGTGTTATTCACATTGCTATCCCAGCTTCCTTTTGGTTAGAGTTTGTCTGCTTTATCTTTTTTCTATTTTTTCTTTTCAGCCTTTGTATAATTTTGTTTTATGGTCTCTTTTAGCAGTTGTTACATCCAATTTGATAATCTTTCCATAGGTCAGTTTAACATAATTACGCTTGTTGTGATTGAGAAAGTTGGACTTATTTCTTCCATCATCTTTTGTGTTTCTGTTCATTACGATTTTCTCTTTTCATACCCTGCCCTTCTTCTACTGGATCAACAACCCTTCTTTCTTCTCTACCTTTTTGGTTTAGAAGTTATCAATTGTATCCTTGTTCTGACATGGCCATTTTATATTTCTCTTGTTACCTTTACATTGTTGACATACGTAAGCTTGTTGTTTTCTATCTTCATCATTTTCTGACAAAGTAAAGTATATGGAACGTATACCTAGGCTATACTTACTGCCTGCCTCATTTCTGTTTTAATATGTGCTTGCTATACTGTGTATAGATGAGCAAAATAAAACACCACAGTGCTGGAAACTTAAGACAGAAGGAATTCTGTGCTTTTACAGATGAAGGCAGACGGCAAGAGTTGCTGATATTTATTCAAACTCCATTCATATAATAAAGAATTCTGGTTTTTAAATTTCGTTTACATCAGGCAAAAAAACAAAAACAAAAACAAAAAAACCCCAAAACAACAGTGAATGAAACATGAGGTTGTAAAGTGCCTTTATGAGGAAGAGGTGACAAAAAGTGGTGGGCAATCCCAGGCTGAGATGGCAGGAATGGTATCTGAATAATTGACATATTAATTAAATTCAAGACACATAATTTTTCAAATAACTTATACACCAGAAGAAAAGCTGCCAAGTCTTGCACATTTTGTTTTATTACCATACTCTAGAGGGGTCTGGCTGGCAATGATGGCCTTGCATATGGTGATGGGGGAAGAAGCCTGTTGGCCTCGGGCTGCAGCAGGGCCTGGGGCTCAGGGAGGGCTGTAAAGTGACACATTTCCAGCAGCATGGAGGCTATAAATACATCCCTTACACTGGATACATATGTACACACATTGACATATATATACACACACATATATAAAAATATCTGCCCCAACCAGATACAGAAAGAAAGTGTTTACAAACAACAGAATTCGTTTCTGAAACACAAAACAAGGTAAAACATAAGAGTTTTCTTTCCAGTTCTGCTTCGATTTGACTAAAATAAACTCTGCACCTTTAAATTTCTGTATTCAGGGTGGCTCTATACAGTACACGCAGGGTGATTTTACTCTGTACGCAGGCAGAGGCTGTTGGAAAGGAGGCAGAGGTGCCTTGAGCTCAAGTTTCACTAAACTTCTTGTGACATCATTGGTTCAGATGAGAGCCTGCAAAAACTGCATCTTTATTTACTCTTTAGAAACCATGAAAAATCCTAATTCAGTGAAGCTTGTTAAAAAATCAAGAGTCCCCCCTTTTTTTTGTAGAAAAGAAGGTTAACATTTTAAATTATAGTTTAACTTTCCTTTTGAAAATTAACTACACAGGTAAAAGAATTTCATTGGTTTCTAACTGCTTTTGTTTGTAGAAACACTGCCTGATTTTATCAAAGGGATGGGTTTTCATTCACCTGTGACCAGGTGGTCCTTGGAGAGTGCTGTCAATTTCCGTGAGAGAGTCCCCCAAATCATTCATTGGTATAATAAACAACATGCTGCAATGTAAACCCCAGTAACAAAAAAAATAGTTTTATATCAAATGCAGTATCAAATTGTCATTTTATGTAAACACAGTGATTCTTGGTAAAGATTAGAGGCCAAAGTACCACAAAAAATGGCCGCGGGATTAATCCCTGCTTTAAAAAAAATTTGTAAAAGACAAAATAGTCCCCCCTCCCCCTCTCTCTTCAAGCTGTTGGGTCAGTGAATCAGTCACTTTTTTTGAAAGGAGTCCCACAGTATGCATATTCCTGCAGAAAGCACCAGACCAGAGCTGTCAGAAACCAAAGCAGAGTGGCTGGGACTGGCCCCGCCCTGGCTGCCTGGCAGAGGCCAGAAGGGACCACCTCGAAGCCCTTCTGCACAGGTGGTCTGTTGGCCTGCAGCACCCCATGTCCATTCCGATTTTCTAAGGAAGCTTGGTGTACTGGTCTTCCCATGGGAACTGGTTTCTGCGCCCTGGGAAGGGGTCCTGGCATGGAAGCTGGAGGGTAGAATCTTCCCGAACCTTTCCTCTGAATGCCCCCACATCCTGCACCGTGGGGTTCTGTGGGCAGCGGGCAGCTCCTTGCTCGGGTCTCGTCAGCGTCCTCCATTTCCAGGGCATCTTAGAGCACC